GTAGGTTTGCTGGCAGGACTTTTGGCCCTGTGGGGTCAGACCCAGGCTGGAGCTGTCTGTTCCTGAACGCCTGTATCCTGTGGAAGGGACCCATGCTGGAGCAGTTTGTGAAAAATTGTAGCCTGTGGGAAGGACTCACTTCGGAGATGTTTGTGGAGGACTGTATCCCATGGGAGGGACCCTACGCTAGGGCAGGGGAAGAGTATGAGGACTCCTCCCCCTGAGGAGGAAGGAGCAGCAGAGACAATGTGTGACGAACTGACCCCAACCCCCATTCCCCATCCCCCTGCACTGCTGGGGGGAAGGAGGAAGAGAAAATCAGGAGTGAAGTTAAGCATGGGAAGAAGGAGGGAGGGAAGGCAGTTTAAGATTTAGTTTTTATTCCTCATACTCTGATTCGATCGGTAATAAATTAAATTCATTTTCCCCAAGTTGAGTCTGTTTTACCTGTGACAGTAATTGATGAGTGATCTCCCTATCCTTATCTCGACCCACAAGCCTTCTGTTACATTTTCCTTCCCCTGTCCAGTTGAGGAGAGGAGTGATAGAGCAGCTCGGTGGGCACCTGGCGTCCAGCCGAGGTCAACTCACCACAGCATCAGCCAGAGTAATACTTTCTGACTTTTAGAGAGGTCTTAACCTTATAATAGCAAGTGAGATTTAGAGGGGAAAAAAAAAAAACATTTTAATTCAGTGTAGTACAAAATAATCCCAGACTGTGATTAATGGAGAAGCCATGCTCCTAGAGTAAACGCTGGGCTGGTGGCTAGCTCTTAACATTCCTTACTGTTCCCATTACCTCCTCAATTTCAACTACTAAACCAAGTATTGAGAAGCTAAAACAGATACATCTTTTCCAAGTATTAAATCTGCAGGCTAGCAATTGCTATGTTTACTGATGAGATACTATGCAGTAATAAGCGGGGACAATGCTCATTTATGTAACAGCAGCAAAGGAAAAGGCATTTTGAAGCCCCGCCTCCTAAGCCATATGACAGACATCTCCTTCATACAAGGTACCATCTTACCATCCTCCAGAGAGGAACAACCCCATTTATGCATACCTTGTACCCAGTTTCATCATCTCTAATCCCCAAGAGCTGTCAAAATTACTTTCCTATTTAGTAATATTAAAAATAAATAAATATATAAATGCAGATTTCATATTTAGAAGCAAATATGTGCATTTTTCAGGCCCTTGAACCGCCACTGCTCTAAAAATTACCACAGTGCTAGTTGGATGAGAGTTTCTCAAGGTCTTTATTTTTTACACTCGCATTTGTCTTATGTGTATAAACCATCACACTGAAGTCACTGCAAATAAGCCAGGGTACCTAAATCTGGCACAAGACAAGATGAATGCATACTCTACTCTGCTATAAATATGATGCTATTATCCTACATTATAGGTTGTTACATTTTCATAGTAGCAAATTTTATTTAAAAAAAAAAAAAGAATGCAGAGTGCTATAGTATTTTTTTACCTAATGGCATATATTTCCATCCTCTAAAATTCCATCTACTTCAACTGAAAGTATTCTAATATGTCCTTTTTCATTTCTGCCAGTAAAAGAACAACATATTCAGAGGGAAGAAAACGAAAATAAATACTAGGTCAATTTCTGTGATTTTTTTTTTTTTCCTCTGCAGTCCTTATGAGAGAAAGCCTTGAATAAAAGCTCTTTATTTCTTAAGTTGTTATTCTGGGATAATAGGGGATTGATACTCATCTCGCCCAGATTCAGCATGATCTCGTGACTTCAAAACTGCTTTTCATATCTTAGCGGCAAAACTATCCCCTTACTGAGCTGCCTGTTTTCAACGGAAACCCTTCTCAGGTCATTATATTTACAGTATGTAAAATACATTCAATTTTGTTAAAAAGGTGTTTGATTTGTCTTAAACGTCTACCTTATTTACATATCTTGGTTGTTGTTTTTTCTTTTTAATGAACATTCCCATATAAATGGCGGATACAAATTTCTGAGAGAAAGGACTTTGGAAATACCCACATCTGAAAATAGTACTTGATATTGTCCTTTGTCTGTCCTAGAAATTATTCTCTATGAAAACAAGAAAGCTCTAAGCAAATAAATATTTTCAATTTATTAACTTTTTCTGTCAACTGCATTATCTTGACAAGCTTTGTTTTCTTAAAAATCATCTACCTCCTGTTCTAAGAAATACCTTTAAACACAGCATATCAATCAGGTATATCACCAGAAGGAAGGCATGCAACAACACATCCTCCAATAGAGAGGTCAATGAACATATCACAGCCCACAGAATCTGTTCAGAAAACACGTTTAACTGATACCTGCTATACTAGAGTGACCAGAAACATTCTGTTTGTTTCTGAACTTCAAGCCTTAATTAGAAAATTTCTATTGTGCTCAATAAAGCAAAAAATTCCTTAAAATTAGCTGAAGTATCCTCCCAAATGTTGTCAAATGTGCACAACTAAATTTTTGAACATTTAAAACATCAGTAGAAAATTCTCAAGCTTCAAACATTTTTTTAGGTTATGAGTAGAAATAAACTAATGAGGGAGAAAAAGCCCACAGCATACCAAACATTTTCTATACACTAACCAAATCCTAAATTCTTAACATTCAGGAATACGTGGCTAACTATTATTCACAAAACTTATTTAACCTTTTCCTTGCTTCTCCTCTGCCCATACAAATAACTGAAAGACAGTAGACTTCTGTTAAAAACGTATTGTTTCTGGCAAAATTAACAGCAAAAATATTAACATTTTGCTAATCATAAAATTTTGTTAATCATAAGAGTATTCATGGTCATATAAATCCATGATGTAAGTAAACCAGATTACCTCGTCCATCAATGATCTCAAGCGCTTGATTTTTCTCGGTTTTAATCAAACTCAAATTTTAACTTTTCTGACCTCAAGCCAGGAAAGATTCAGTATAAAGTTTTGTCTGGAAGTCTTCACGTAACAAGCACATCTGAATACAAAGCACACCCTAGCGTGGGCCCATAACTTACCAAAAAGAAATTATATTCCACTTAAAGAAATGCAGGAGATGCCCAGTCTGATTTCAGAAGATCATTAATGTTTCATGAATTATTTTAACCATTATGTATTTGAAGAGGAACTAACAGTGCTCCAGCACAGCAGTTGAGAATGCTGAAATATAACATGATCCTTTTCTCCTGCAGTAAATCGACATTTTAGCCAGATTTCTAACACTCTGACCTGTGGTGTCTCTCTGGTCAAGGACATGATTAAATCAATTAAATCTATATACAGGTAAGATTCAGAATTAATTCACATTATGACAAAAATAAAATAGGCTTTAAAAGCTAGCATTTATTCATCTTTAAAAGCTATGTCCTTAAAAGACATAGGTAGAGGGACATAATGGCGCTTAGTTTGTTACAGGTCATGAACAAACGCTCCTGTACATAGCACTCTGTGACAATCTGCTATAGAAAATGATATGCTGAGACCCTTATATAGTCCCCATGTCCCACCTTGAGCCAGCACTACCCTGATGGGACCTGAGGTAAAGCCCAAGCAAGAGAGTACTCCCTCCTCCTGCCTACGTACTGCATAATTTGAACTGCTACCAAAATTATTGGAGCCTGAAGCCACTAGTCAGATGTTTTCTTCCCAGACAAGCCCTCGTGTGAGTCTTCACAGTTTTACATTATATAAACTGCACGTACACAGTCACTGCAAACAACATCCACCAACCTACTCAATGCTGTAATACAGCTGTAACCAAACACAGATTGAGGAGAAACTGAAATCCTAGATATAATAGAGCCTAAAAGCAACAATTGGCCTACTTTTCCAAAACGTCATGTTCATGCTCCACATCTCCTGGTGCAGGACCAGCTGCTGGAGTTCATTGCCGTTCTCTGACCACCTGCCCTGCTAAACAGGATCTCTGCAGGCAGCTGCACAGCCCTTCTAAGCCTTGCTCTTTACCTTGCCATACATCATCCCCATATGCTATACTTGTATCTACATTAGTACCACTTGTGGCTATTGTGGCTACGACTGAAAAGGCAGATACAAACCTTAATGCTTCCCTCAAGTCCCTCCATTTTTAACTTGCATTTGTCTACCAAATTAAGTTCCTTTTCCGCTGCATGCATTTTTCCTGGACAACAATATTTCCATAACAACTGCAATGAAACAGTCAGCGCACTGTTGTAACAGGAAAGGAACTCGCAACGAAGGATTATCCCAGCACCACTTTATGGAAGCACAGACTCTTTGGAATACAAATACTGTGTTATTTGCTTCCCCTCATAAAGTACTAGCAAGCAAAAATATAATTAACAGCAGAGAAAGCAAGTTACTCAGTACAGTGCATAATTGGAACTTGCTCATACCACCAGCAGGGCTCAAAATAATTGCCTCTCTTTCACAGCGCAAGCAGCAAACTGAACTAAAAAGCTTCACGTTTCGCATTCGCAGTCAGCCTGTCCAGAGCATGTCAGCTGAGTAAGTGGATTGTCAGTATAATGCGCACACTCTCTAAAAACAAAGTTTCCCCTTTCCTATTAGGAAGGAAAAGAACACTTAAAGGCAGCACAGTAAAAAGTATAATGCTTTTACGCTAGTAGTACTACCATGCAAATCCTGTTTTCAAAATTCCTGTTCAGTAACTACACTAACATTAAAGGCATCTACAGGTTGGTTGTAGTTATACTTAAATCCTTAAGTCATTAATGCATAAGTGCTCTTGCAGATGAGACAATTAATTGCCCTTTATCACAGACCAGATGGTTCACCAACATCAACCTCAGAAAGTGTTCAGAGATTGCCCTTTAACACACATCAGGGGTTCAATCACCTCTATAACATAGCTTCCTACCCCAAAACTTCACCACAGCCTTAGCTGAAAGGCCTTGACTAACACACAGGTTGACTGTGTATTGTAGGAGCAGAACCTGAAGAAAATCTCCAAAATCCCACATAAAAAAAAAAATGCTATAGCTTTCTGTTCATCCTATTCACAATTCAAACTAGAGGGGACAAACAGGAAAAAAAAAAAAAAGCACATGCCACACCACCTGGAGCTGGGTTAACTTTTACACTGGTAAAAAACACTGATCAAAGGTGACGTCAAGATCGGCACAGCCGGCAGCTTCACAGGCGTTTCCATTTTGGGGCCTCATTTCAATTCCCAGGAAGGAGACAACGCCAGTCCTGAAAACTTCACAGGACTTCCCACAGGCAAACATACATCCTCTGACAGTATCACATGGAGTGGAAATTGTTGAGGGATTTCACTCCTTTGTTTCTGCATTTATCCCTCAGCATGAAAAGAGAAATCATGCTAAGGCTTCTTACAAAAAAATCAGACTCTGGGCATTTTGTCACTATCTTACAAATAATAAGGCAGACAATAGAAACAGTATAAGGCTTAAGTGACATCTGGGAAGCTCTATCTGCAAGTCCACTGCAGACAGGGCTATGGGCAGAAGGAGGGAAAAAAATGGCTCTACCATGAAAATGTAGAATAATTGCAAAAGGATTAAATACTTTCATGTTGGTCTTAGCACCGAAGGAAAAGGGCAATTGACAAAGAAACTTAGGTACCTACTTTTGCAGTCATTTTTGCCAGAAGTTCTTGCAAATCCATGATTCCTTGCACCAGACTTAAGAAATCACTGCAGGTTGGGCATGCTCAATAAAGGAAGAGTAAAAAAAAAAAATGGGAAAGGAAGAAAAGGAAAGACACAATAACCCATAAATAACCAACAGTATATCAGGCTTGATTTATCTGAACATAAAATGCAATCTGTTTACACATAATTTTTGCCTTCTGGAAGTCAGCACATGCAAAAATTACTGAAAATATTATTTTTAGAACAAAGAAATAATTTGTATGAAAAATATACAATACAAAGAATAAAGAAATTGCTACTTACTGCGATTCAGATTAGGACACTGCATTATATATCCATTAGGTATAAAGATGACTTTCACATCTTGAATAACACCCTTTGTAAAAGAAGAGAAAACTGGTTATATAGATTACAAGCATTCACTTAGATCTGTACAAGCTGTTTAACAAGTCATTTCTTAAGTGGGTACAAAAAATTGACCTGCTCACTCTTCTCATGAGGAAAATAACTGAAGATGGACAAAATGTTACAATTCCTCCTATCTTCCTGTGTGTTTGGATATTAATTTTCACAAAACACAGAAAAAATACTGCTTTGTCTTTTGCAATTACCAAACGTAAGCTGCTTAAATGTCTTAAAACGGGATGAGGCTGGTGAAAAAGCAGTGAAATAATATCCTTTATTCAAGCCTATGACACACTTTTCTAAAAGACAAAGAAAACACAGCAGTACTCTCTAGTGATTTAGCCAAATAAGACAGTGAAATCAAACATTATGAAAAGAGAAGTATATAGTGCAAGAGGTAAGTAAGAGTCTATACTTCAGTTGTTCGGTTTAAGTTTAGCCCACCAGCTTTGTATCTCAACAGGCAGTTGAGATACTGTGCTGGTGTAATGGTGTATCAATTAGATATGTAATGGTGCTATCAATTAGAATTAAATCCTCTCTCTAACCCAAACAGATGGAAAGATCCTCTACGCAGGACTGGTAAAAATCAGGACTCAGAGGTCAGAGCCAGCTAGCGCAGGTTGTATGAGGCCTGGAATCTGAACTGGGCAGGACAGGAGAGAGGAAACACCAAAAGGTTCAGTCCCAGCTCCATCCTCTATTGTGCCTGACTTGCAAGGATATCCCTGACAAAAGCAGCAGACACGAAAGGTTGCCCAGTATCCCTGCACACCTGGGTCCTGAAGAACCCTAAATCCTTCAAAGAGCCTAGAAAACGCTGAAGCTTGTGTTTGCTCTTTTAAGGTCAGTATAAAGCTCTTGCTTCATCTTTGACTGCTTAACATACTTAAACCAGGAGATCCACTAGCTTTAAAGTCATGGTCACTAAGGGAGAGGAGCAAGGGAAAACAAGGGACTTCTAGTGCTATTTGCGCTTTCCCTGACTGTTCATTAGACATTGTGACATGGCTCTATCTCCTCCCAGACATGGAAGAATTTCTTTAACTTGAAAGGAAATTTACCATCACGGCAGTTATTATCTAATTAAATTACTGATTTGTAAGACTATGTTTTAGTTTCAGTTAAATTGCAACAGAGTGAATTTTGCAGGCTGAGGACATAGTCACTTGCTCAAAACACTGAACTCCATCTGTAAATAAAATACAGGCCTCAGATAGCCCTTGAAGCCTGGCAAGTCAAGTAACATTACATATTTACATATTCATTTGCTAAAACAGCAGAAGGCAATCAGCAAGCACCGTTTTCCTATTTCATGATCAAACATTAACTGAAAATATTAATAGACATAATCAGATCACAGTCTATCTTGCAGAAGTATATACGTTTATTAACCTTTTCATCTATGAGAATAATGAAACCATCATAACAATGAGAAGTAATACTGTCACCACTGGAAAAGGAACATCCTGAAAGCCATTTTACATACTCTCTGCTAGCAGTCATCAGCAAGAAACTAGAAAGCGAGGCACAAAAACATATTCCAATGCTTAAGCCTCTCCAGTGAAAAGCTCAACCAGGAGTAAACGAGATTACAAAGTTTCACCAGACCATATCACACAGCTAATGACATCATCTAGAGAGAAGCGATGTTTTCCTCAGCCTTTTTTTTTTTTTTTAAAGTGCATACTGAACACTTCGAATATGTTTGTTGCATCAGAACCCCACTGCTCAGTTGTCTTTTGGATAGATTTGCATTTACATACAACCTGAAGAGGAAACATAACTATTTTTTGTGTCTTACTTTCTGGCTACTTGAAAGCATGTTGCCATGGAAAAATGAATTAACTTTATCAATATAGATGCCTTCTAAGTCTATAAAGCCTCTGAAACAGAATTAATATGATCAAATACAGAAGTGAACCCTCAAAGAGCAGAAATTTTGCTGATGTATTTTTTTAATAGAAAGACTTCATTATAGGCAAACACTTATTACAGCCATAATTATTGTAACATATATAAACAAACTTGGACTATTCCTCCTTCTACATAAAGTCTAGGTTACTAAGTGTTTTCTATGGTCACAGCCAGAAGGAGAATTAGGCATGCACAGCTCCCCAGGGGAAGCAAAGGGCTCTGGTTCACTTTTGGCACAGGGTAGAGCTCTTCAGCCCACATTCTGTAAAAAGACATCAGGATTTGGCCTTGACAGGGAAATGCCCGTGGCTAAAATCTTCCCCATTTCGCCTTTCCCAAGCAGACATCACCTTTATGTTATCATTAAAGCATTTGGCTAATTACAACCAAAGCTTCAGTCCAGTATCAGGACTCAATAGCTTGAAGAGCCTTCATCTGTGCAGGCAGATTACCAGCTACAAGATTAAACTCAGGCCTGCAGCACTAAATATCAAGCCCATCCCATGAGGATGCAACACAAAAGCCCTGTTTATTGCACCTCTCATGTCTCTATTAAACAGAGGACTCCTCCCACATTCTGTGAAAAGGCTCATATATTCCATGAGCTCTACACTTTTGCATTTTCATTTCCTCCATTGCTGTTCACCCTCTTTAAAAACTACTTCTCCCACAGAGACAACCCGTGCCACACACCTGTGCAAGTTGCATCGGCCAGGGCTGGTGAAAGGCTCTGTACAGAGGCACCAGTAAATGTGCCTGAAACCCTGTGCCCAGGCAATGCTATGCCAACAGCGCTAGACCTCCACACTAGATCAGCACTGTGCTCCCCTACACAGAGCAGACGTGCCCTCGTACTGTATTTACCTCACCATAATACGTATGACACCACAACCACAATGACTACAGTGACCCAAGTGTACATATGATGACGTGCAGTAAAAATACCAACACTCTTCTCAAGCGCCTACTACACAATCCCCAGACACAGCAGCAGGATCAATAGAGGCTGCTATAGCAGATATGAAAATTACTGTCTTTTGACAAGAATCGCCTAGTCAGCAATGCATTAATAAGCTCATTTCTGCAGCAACTCTTTGGAGGGAGCCTTAGGGGAAAGGGTTCTCCCCAGTGATAAAATGAATTTTGCAGATAATTCTGATCCCGACAGCAATCAGACCCATCCTAGAGTGAGGGTTCCCTGGATGTCTGGTATCACTCTCTTCCTCCTTTCAGTTACATTTACTTTGGTTTCCTAATTAAATGCAACAGAATATTTTATCCCTAAAACAAATCTTGCATTTGGGCCACACAAAGAAACCTGAAAGGGTCAGCATGTATTTGTCAAAGGAAGTAATTCATGAGATTCCCTTCAAAGCAAACAGACAAAGCTGTCTTAACTCGGCTCCGCATTTACCCCTGCCACTGCTGTGCTAAAACCATTCCGTCTTGTCTGAACTCCAACTGCTTGCTCATAGCAGGTAAGTTACAACTGGTAAGAGATACTAGTTGTAAGGGGCAAGACTTCAATTCCCTTTATTATGCCGTAGAGCACTTCATTCCCCAGCAAGGCCACAGACACAGCAGGGCTACTTGTGGAATAATCACCGTAAGGAAGGATGTGGGACAAAAGCATAAATAAGAAAAACGGCAGCAACTGGCCAGAATGACTTATGAGTATCATATCCTCTCGTTCCTCTTCTGATATACTGAAGAATTATGATGTAAAATAGGCATGAGAATATGGCCCTAAATGTGGTTTACTGCTATTCATTTATAGAGAGACACAGCAATTTATTAACTATTATTAAAGTGTGGAAATTCTTGGAATGGTGAGGTGATACTTAAAATAGTATTCAGTGCTTTTTTGTTACATACATTATCATGGCTCCAAAACACATACAAAAATGCTAATTCTTTTTTAACGCTCTTATTTCCCTGCAGATCTCTGTTTACATTGAGGAAAATAGATCTATTTTTTTATATGCTAAAACAGTGAAACAAATTGCTCTGAAAAAGAAAGGGAGGTCCTGCTGAGCATGTAAATATATGGAAAGAGATGTGTACTCTTTAAAAACTGGCAAAATCCCAAGTTTTGGCAATGAGCAACATAAAAATACGTAAGATTCCTGAAACTCTCAAGCAGGATTGAAAAAATACAACCAATTATATTTCTGCCCTGAAGAAAGTTAGCGAAATATTCAAGCATGCATAAAGCGAAGTAAGGCACTTGTCGGCTTTCATTATGATCAATAAAAACTGTCAGCTCATTAGCATATCATTAGCTACCCTGCTGTTTCCACAGTGTTAACGTGTAGAAATATTAATTTACAAACATATAATATCCCAGCGTTCTCAGACTCTGACTGCTTCCATAAAATAAGAATTTAAGATGGACAAATCCAATACAACTTTTTTTCATATGTAGCTATAAACATATGTTTGCCATCTGTGGAATTATGGGAAGCAGCTGAGGTAAAAAAAACAACAGCTGTAGAATAAAATAATACTATCAATTTCACTTCACAGTGACAGCTCATCTGCTGGAGGATGAAATGTACTTTAGGTTCAGAATAACTCTCGGACAGTCATTTAAAAGTTAGCTTTTACCTCTGTTTCACAATTAAAATTGTTAGTTGCTACAATAATTCTATCGTAAATAATTTTAGCATAAAATAATCGTCCTAGCTTGTTGATACCTGAGGACTTCGAGGAGAGGTCCTCAGAAAAACAGCAACTTGTAAAATCGTCTTATGAACCGACAGCTTCAAAGACAAACTGAGTGGGTGGTAAATCACCTTGGCAACAAATCCACGCCAATATCGAGGACAGGCAGACTGGCCTATCACGGCACTATAGACTCTTTCACTGATAAACACTCGCACTGCAGCTTGTTATCCAAAACTGGAAGAAACGTCAGAAACTTTTCTGTAGCTTGCTTACAAAGTAACAGAATTAATTTCCAGGTGGAGAGAGTGCTTTTCGTTCGCTGATGGATTCAGTTTGTCAGTCGGTTC